CGATGTAACTTCTCTGCTTAGCTGGGGGCACATTGTATGTTTGTTAAATTTGCATTAGAAATGTAAGTTTACATGTATAGAAACTATTGATTTATATAATATCATTTGGATGAATTCGTCTACAAGAACAAATAAATCGTTAAATACATAATTAACTGATTAATGAGAATTAATAGATATCTATGTGTGATTATAATTTAATAATTCTCTTCCGTAAACATAATTATTGAATAATATAATCTTTCAGATATAAATAGTGCTATATGATATAACAAAGCAAGTACAAATTCTTATTTAAACATATAATTAAAAACGGTAAGTTATAATTATAAGTTGCACTAAAAGCCAACTTTACATTTGTATTGAGATTTGTAATTATTTAATAATATAATCTTCCAGGTATAAACAGTGTTACATGATATAATAAAACACAAATATTTAAATATATAAATTTAATATTTAAATATATAATTAAAAGTGGTAAGTTAATTACAAATTACATTAAAAAGATCAATTCTGCATTTGTTGAAAATGCTGTTGTCTAATAATTTTAAAAATTGTTCAATATTAAGAGTTAATTCTTCGATTTCGAGCGCGAGAATTAATGCCTAAGGGATACAGGAACATCCCGACGTAGATCGAGTATCGATCATTATACGCGTCGTGGTTATTAATCGTCGTTACGAATCAATTGGTCGTTGAGCGTGACTATTCGCAGATGCAATTAAAGGTCGGCAGAAAGCGATTTTATATATTCGGTCAATCCATTGATAAAAAAGTTCCTGCAACATTTTTGGTACCGCGTAGATAATTCAACTAGTCATACCTTGTAAAATTCCTTTTTCTTACAATTAACTAATTTATATTTTATCTTATTATTTTATATTTTTTTAGCTATATAGTCGCGTCTACTAATAAAAAATTCAGCGATATTTATTTTTATTTATTTATTTATTTTTATTATTATTTATTTGTTTTTATTTTGGTTATTTATTTGTATGTGATATATTATTTTACAGATAATATTAAAAAAAAGAATTAAAAAATGTAATGTCAGCATCTAAGAAGAAGAAGAAGCAAGAAAGATAAAATAGAAGAAAAAAAAGAAAGAAAAAAGAGAAAAAAACGAAAAAATTACATGATGATAATATTATATGAATTTATTTTTTAAATGTATAAATCGGTGCAGCAATGTAACAAAATGAAGAGTAGGTTCAACGTGGATTAAGCGATGCTGATTATATGCATCTCGGTAGTAAATCGTTACAAATTAATCTGCCGTCAAACTCCCCCTGCGCAGTAGATGGGATTAAGCACTTCGAAAGAAGGATCGATTTGCTGGTATCGATCAGAATTCTCGTATACCTCTTAACCTTTAACCGATGTTAAATCATTTACTCTGAAAAGAGTAAGTTTTCTTTTTGTACGAGATTGATATCGAAGGATGCATGATTTACTGAATTTTAACATATGTGAAAAACATTTTGTTCAATACATAAAGGAAAGAAAAAGATTCGATCATCAAACCTCTTGACCTCTCGCTGATATAAAGGATCGATATGTTTCTCCTGATTTTCGATCTCCGCACACGAATTTGCGATTAGAAATATTATAGCTTTCTATGGATTGATTACTTAGATCGGTCGAACGTTAAAGTGTTTTGCTTTTTATAACTGCCACTATATATAGATGCAAGCTGACTATCGAAGAAATAACTGTACTAATAGCTGCCTGGAAAGGGCTGATAATTAATAACTGTGATTAACTTTTGACGCTGACATCTTATCAAACTTCGTCATTCTGATGTATTTGATGTAATCAAAAATTGAAGAAAATAGTTAAGTATAAAGATTAAGGATTACGTAGCAATTTTATATATATACATATACATCTACTTTTTTAAATATCATTTTTATATATGATTTGCAACATTTTACATTGTTACAATTATCGAAGATGACTTGAAATGAAATCGAAATATCTAATTTATTAAAGTATGATTTGTAACATTTTATTATTAACAGTTACCGAAGATGACTTGAAATGAAACCGAAATATTTAATTTATTAAAGTATTTTTTATAAAGATTTGAGGCTTTTTATTTTTCGCACCCTGTTTTCTCTGTGCTAGACTTTTAATCTGTTTTTCCGTTGTCAAAATTATAATTAATTAGTTTTATTTTTATATTTTTTATAATAAATAATATTATGTGATATTATACATACATATATACACACACATATATATATATATATATATATATATATATATATATATAAATATGTAATTTGCAATTAACAATTCCATATTTTTGCTTAAAAACAACTGTGTTTTTCCTTTACACCAATTGATTCCTCTCATTATTTTGTACATAAAAGTATTAAGGTAGGATAATCGAAAAATGAATATTTTACAAGATATTTTATGGTTTATGTAAAATTAAGAAATGATTTCAAGCCTCATAACTCGAAAAGTACTCAATGAAGAAGTACTTTATTATAGTGTTTTGAAAAGCTCTCGAGATAAGCTACAAGAATAAGTAATAAAAAATAGGGAGTTCTATTAAAAAAATTGAAGGTGGCCTTCATGTGACCTTCAAACAACTTTTCAAGATAAAACCAATGATACCATCTTATGTCCCCCTTCAAGCCATACAACTTTTGTCTGAACAATTTTTTTGTATTCGGCTTACCAACGGAGATATTCAGGTGCGTCGATTAAAATGGGCCACGGTGTATATATAATACATACATACATATATATATATATATATATATACATATGTATAACATATGTATAATATATATATCAGACCGAAATAGTCTGAATTTTATATATATATTGTAAGTTATCTATTTTATAATAAAATACAAGACTATCATAATTTTATATATTTTTTTGTAAATTTATATAAAAACTAGTATATAGTGTGCAATTTTATATAAATATAAATATAAATGTAAATATATATAATCAGAAAAATAAAATCATCATATCATTGATCTGTCAACAACGATATGATATAATGATTATTTATTGATAAAAAGTTTAGTCGTTAATACGCGTTGGATTTTATCATTAATAATAGAAATAATATTTCTTCTTCTACCATTTATTAAATACTTAGCATTTCTGAGTTGTATGCATATTCTTTTTTCACATTTAATTTCGAATTTTGTGCTCTTTGTCTATTCTTACTATGTTTATCGTTTCCATGAGTTGAGATTAGGAGAGTTCGATTAGAGGATTTACTCGATAGCAATAGGATGAGATTAAAGGACTACATATATCTCCTAACTATTATCACAGTATAATACAGCTGAATATAATGCAGTACAAATCCGTGTCGGAAACTTTGATATTGTTAAAGCAAAGTTATCTACGATTATTCAATGATATGTAAACGATAATGATATTTATAATGTTCAATAATTAGCATTATCATATTTACATAATGGCGTTAGTTTTAATAATTTTATTCAACCAAAAAATTAAAAAAAAGAAAAATTATATGAATGCAGTAAACTGTTTCTTAAAATTATACTTTATTCATTATACTAACAAATTATAATTTTATATGATACAAAATTCATATGAATATTTTGTATAATATAAAAATAATTAACAAATCGATTTAATTTTTTATTCAGCTACAAATTCTATAATTTAATAATTAGGTTTTAATTTATTTTCGAATTTACTACTATTGAAATATTTACGACTTTTGTTCGCTACCGAATCTCTATTATTAAAGACTTAGCTATGTCGGCTTTGAAATCGAAATATAAAACAAAGTCACGGCTTGAACCCTCCTCTATACATATGATCATGACTCATTATATTCTATTCAGTTCCGCTGAGATCCCTAAAATGTTTGTGTTTGCATCGATCTCAAAATATGTTGAAACATGCAACGTAACTGTTCAAAATTCGCGACGCACTATTCTCTTCGTACGTTCGAGAAAATAAAGGAATATATAATTAAGTGCACTGAGAAAAAATCTCGTTGCATTAATTAGAATTCTGGTAGATTCAACCAGTATGTCTGTTAGAAAATGGACGAACCAGAATTCTTGTAGGAATTACCAGATGAATCTGATTAATTTCTTCCTGTTAAATTTATCAAATTTTCTGGTTAATAATACTAAACTCTCCAGCACCAAGTCGTCTAAAATTTTTTCCATCTAATCTCAAAAGTCTATTTAATATTCCGAATTCCAACAAGATTATTAGATAAATTTAATCCAGATTATTGAATAAATTATTTTAAATTCAATTCGTTAGAAATTAAACTGATAAACAGTGATACAAGAAGAGGATACAGCTCAAACACACACAATCAGAGAGTTAGTGTCCTCTTTCTGGCACTACTGCTCGTAAGAGAAAAAAAATATACTTTGGATTTAATGTTAATACTAGTTCTTTATATACATTTCATGGCAAATATTGAATACGAGTTAAGTTAAGAGTGGCTCGCTGCTTAACGGCAAGCAAAGAAATTAATGTAACAAAAAATTTTACAGATCCAACCAGAAAATATTAACCAAATCCTTATACTAAAATCTATTACACATTCTAGTTAATAAAAAATCGAGTCTTAACTAGAAATTCTTGTTTGATTTAATCAAAATGCCTTCAATCATACACGTTTTGTTGTCAATCAAACGATTTTTCTCAATGTAGGTATAGTTAAAACATTATTAAACGAACATAACGCTCAAGTGAGTAAAAATATTTAAATATATTTAAAAAACAGCGTTGTCCCCCCTAAATATGACCATATTATTTGAAGCTGGTTTGAATTTAATATGTCTGCCGTTGTTTGCACATAAGTCCTTCGATTTTTCAGAGATGGATTTTTCGATGAAATCCAGAGAAGCAAGAATAAAAAAGAGAGAGAGAGAACTATAATTATAAAAGTATTTTAAGATTATTTTAAGATCAGATTAAAGTTAGATCATCTAAAATATAGTAAAATTCAGAAAGTACAAACTTTACAGGCGAATCCATGTCAGCATCCGATTGTAATCCTGAGGGACGTAGCGTCGTCAGATATGGAGTCCTTGCTACGCTTCATGTATAACGGAGAAGTGCACGTGGGTCAGGAGCAGCTGCCTGCCTTCTTGAAGACAGCGCAGATGCTTCAGGTACGAGGATTGGCAGACGTTAACAGTGGCGTTTCCAATACGAAAATTCCAGCGTCGTCGTCGTCGGCCGGCAACAACGGTAGCGCGCCTGTAAGTTGTCCCCACGGCTGGTTAATATGGAGAAGTTGGAAAATTAATTATAGGAATTATACGGCTGGTTTCAAACTTTTAATTAATTTAGCCTTAATTAAAACGAATTTTAATTAATGTGCTTTTAACACTACGCCATCGCTGTTACCGTGACAGGCGAAATCTCGACTAGGATTTCCCGCTTCGTCCTTTAATTTCGCGATTTATATTATAATAGACGTTAGACAAATATTTAAAAAATTTTAATAAATGAATTAATATTCGCTGTGATTATACATATAAATATATAGACATATAAATATACTTGCACATACACACATATATGTACATACATACGTGTGCATATAACGTATAAATTATATTTTAACGTTATTATAACGTATAAATTATATTTTATTTTTTTATACAATTTAAAATGTAATTAAAGAGAGAAAACATGTTGTAAAGAACATCATATTAAAAACTATAAAAGGTCGTCTACAAGGCCTACATGGCCGTAGCATAAGGTTGTAAGGCATAAGACTCAAGAAATTGACCAATCACAGTCAAGTATTAAGAGAATGCTCGACTGTGATTGGTCAATTTCTTGAGTCTTAAGCCTTACAACCTTATGCTACGGCCATTGTAGACGACTCTTAAAACATGAGATTGTTTAAAGTTAGATTATCTAAAATATATTCTTCTATGAGTAAGAATATTCAATGATTTAATCGATATCAAGAAATAAATTTTGCACAGCGAATCCATGTTAGCAAAGTATGATTTTAAGAGCATCGTAAGACGTTCTGTAAAAATCATATGTCTACATTATTCATCTTTTATAAAATACATTATATTTTATAAGATATATAATAGGACATACATGTAGTAGAATATAAAATACATTATGTTAATGTATTAAATATTAAATATTAGTTATACATGTATTATGTGAAGGATGATTATCTATTTCAATTATAACATTAAACTCTTCAAGGTCGCTAGTAAATAAAATACAAGAAGTAATTAGAAACGACCACACTGGCAAATTTTATTAAAGTGAATCACGACGTTTCGACCATGGTTTTGGTCCTTTTCGAGTGAACTACAAAAAATTATTTCCAGTATTACACACAAAAAAAAAATAAATTACATTGATTAAGAAATAAAAAATGAGCGGCAAGTTAAATACATACAACACGTGAGAAAGAGAGAAATTGTCGAAATGTTTTTTATAAAAAAGTTTGACAACACGATCAACTTACAAAAGGACACCGAAAATTTAAACAATATTTATGATAGACTAATAAAGGTTATCTAGTCTTTCTCTGTGTGTTGATGTGACATGACAATCTTGACGAAGTGATTTCCTTATTTCTCACGATAGAATAATTAACTAAATTATTGTATGTATTTAACTTGCCGCTCATTTTTTATTTCTTAATTAATGTAATTTATTTTTTTTTTGTGTAATACTGGAAATAATTTTTTGTAGTTCACTTGAAAAGAACCAAAACCATGGTCGAAACGTCGTGATTCATTTTAATAAAATTTGCCAGTGTGGTCGTTTCTAATTACTTCTTGTATTTTAATTATATTTTATTTAATTCTTCATATTTTAATTCTTCATATTTTGTTTTTAACTATGTTAGGCAACACCACGCAATCCTTGGCAGGATAACGGCAGAGGGGATCTTAATGAAAGTGACATGAGCCCCCCAGAAAAGCGAGCGAGAAGTTGCAGCCCGCCGTTAGACAACCATGTTGTGGAACAAAAATCGGATCTACAAGAATCTTTGCTAGGTCAGGCTCTAGAAGGTGGGCCTACGATACATACGATACCTACAAATAATGTACAGGTGAGAAAGAAAATATCTCGTTATATTTACCTGAAAATGATTTATAAGTATATAATAAAGTCCCCTCCTATATATTTTTGAAAAATTATAAAACTGATAAATTTTTATCAAAAAAAATTTCGTGTGAAATTAGTTAACGTTGTTACAAAAATTAGAAATATTGTATGACTGTATATTTTATTAAAAAAATGGAAATTTTTTATTTGTGTTTAGTCAACTGGGGAGGATTCGAATTCTATGTCGGAAAATGAGGAGGACATATCGAATAATGGCAGTATCCTGAACACAGTGAAGACTGAACCGAGTGATATTCTAAACGACTCTATAGAACATCATCGCAACAGTTTTCCTGCGGCATTGTTGGGCCTTCAAGGTTATTATTTAACACTATTCTTTTTCATTTATTTCATAATATATTTTATATCTTTTATTATGCATATTAAAGCTTTCACTTTGTTAATGACTAAATTAATTATTGCATGTTTTCGAAAAAAAGAAAAATATTAATTTGTTAAAAGAAATATTATTTGTTTCACACATTCTGATATTTGTTTATGAAAACAACAGTCGATTCGTTATTTATAAGGCAAAATTAAATTTATGATGAATCAAAGAAATCCTAATTTGATTGAGAGAATGCAAATTAGTTTTTTAATTAATGGCACATTTAATTATTAATTACATTTGTAATTAATAATTAATTCCTCGTTCAGTTACTAATTACTTTGGTAATTAGCAATTAGTACGACTTAATTACTAATTACGGCTTCAATTAAAATTAATTATTGTGTAATTATAATTATTTTTATTTGTGTATATAATTTTATTGTGTTTCTTGACTTGCGAAAATTTATTAATATTAAATATATTATTAAATGCAATAAAGTAATATTAATAAAATTTGATTTTATTTGTATTATTATATATTTATTTATTTGTTAATATTATTTATTTGTATATTAATTAATTGGGTGATATAAATTTCATACTTTTTCTTTATAAAAAATTTATGTTTCTTAAAGTAGTTAAATTCATATATATATGTAGATATATATATGTAGACTTTTAAGTATTTTAATTTTAGTAGCGTTTAATATCAGAACATATGGAATTAGTGTTCTGTGTATTAAAAAATGGATTATGTTTTTAATATGTTGTACTAATCGAATGATCGATAAATCTGCATTATAAAATTTATACTGAACTATCTAAATACGTCTGAAAAGTAGTATCATACATGAGATAATGAGTTAAAAGACAAACAGTATTATAATTAATACTTATGCAACATATTAACTTTTCTTAATTTATAATTAATTTTTTGATTTTATTTCTCATGTGTATCAAGATATAAAATAATTCCTTTTCAAAGTTGAAAATTCTGTTTAATTTTAAATGCAATAAAACTTCTAACACGTAGCGTACAATAGCTACAATATTCTAAAATGTTAAAGTAGCCATTTTTCGCAGTTTTAATCGCAAATTTCTTAAATTATGATACATAATTGTGCCATTTAAGAAATAAAATCATATTCAGCATTAATAAAACTACGAAAAATGATTAATTTTTTTTCTTTTATTCGAGAAAAGCTCTTACCTTTTGTTGAACTGTAAGTTATTTGATTTACAAATTGCAGGGATGGGCTTGCCAGGACCGTCAGGTATTCATCAGGTGGCAAATCAGGATCCTAATTATGGTAAGTGTGCTAAATCAACGATTCGATCTCACCCTTTTAAACGTTCTCGAAGCCCAGACTAGTATCCTTCCGTCGTTTCCTAAGATTCTGGTCTCTTGTTGTTGCGTTGAATGCATGAAAACTCTCGTACCTCTCACAACCTTGCATTCCCTGCCAGCTACCCTTCTTATCACACGGTAAGCAGGAGTGTATTACGGAGTCGCATTTTGATGGCTCTTCGACGTATTTCGTGCAGCGTATTTTACTGTATCTGCAGCGTATCTTACTCTATCTGTCAGTAATGTGAACTTTTTTATAATCATGCAATTATTTTTCAATTCGAAAACGAATTTATCGTCGTATCTTTTTTTTATTTTTGTCTTTACATCTGTAATGTGGAGCATTTTTTTGGTATGACTATTGCCTTAAGAAATTATGCAAATTTTGTAAAAATAATTTTCTACTTATTACATTAACAAAATCTTGTCAGGATTATTTTTTATATAAATTAAATTTAAATTTAAAATTAAAATTGTGATAATTTGCTCATCAAATGATCGCTCTTGCTTAAAAAAATTCGAATAAAAACTGTGATTGGAAGGCAATTGCAAAGAAGAAGCAAACAGTAGGTTGCAAAGGAACGCCAGAAATGATGAATGCATGAAAACTCTCATATACCGTATTAATTCGTACGAAGAATCGATCCTAGATTTAGAGAGAGGCTTGGGGGAGGGACCGAGCAAAAGTTATTGAGGGCAAGCTATATTTAAGACTGGAAATGCACTTTCAGAAAAGAGAAAGTCGAAAAAGAAGGGCTGCGAAAAGCAAAAAAGAGCGATTAAATAGTGTTTAAGGGATCGTACGAGGTTGGCTGAGGACTGACATTGGCTGGTGGTTCCAGGGCGGTGGCAGCCCTCTGGAGGAGATGGTTCAAGTTCGAGTTCCGGTTGGCTGCCGGGTTCGTCCTCCACGAGAAACGAGCACGCCGGGTCTGGAACTTACCAGAGTGGCGGAGGTCACAACTCAAAAGGGCAGGATTTCTCGACCCTACTTCAGCATCATCATCATCAGCATCATCATCACCATACCACCAGCCAACAGTCGTCGCAGCAACACACCCTTAATGCCCTCAACTCCCTCAGCCTGAACAGTGAGCAACTCACGATGATGCATCAAAAACTACAGAATAATCTCCAAAGTCTCCAGCAGAACACTGCTGCCAAGGGCGACCAACTGAATCTGATGCTGCAGTCTTGCGCGAAGGACAAGATTGAGAGTATTGCGATGTTACATCAGCAAACTCAGAGGCGGTTCCAACAGCAGCAGATGGATAACAACGGTATCAATCACAACGGTAAACCCAAGTGTCCCGAATGTGGCAAGATATATTCGAACAATTCCAATTTGAAGCAACACATTGTCAACGTTCATACTGTGCAAACCGAATACATCTCGTGTCACGTGTGCAGCAAGCAATTCAAGACCAAGCAGTATCTACAGATCCACTTGCTTTCCATGCACGGTATTAGAAAGCGAAAGAGTTACCCTTTGTATCAGATGCAGACACACATGCAAAATCAACAACAATCTGCCTTGCAGCCTGCTGGTTCGCAAGGTCCCACGGGTCAACAACAACAATATTCCGGGTCGGAAAGATGGTCCGAAGACAAGCAGTGATTTGGAAATAGTCCAGAATAAATCGATTATAATTTATGCAAAAAATTCTGAAGGGACTTTTTGATGTAGAAGAATCGTTTGCCAAGAAGGCTCTTCGGATAATTTGTGATAAATACAAACGTTGATAAACACAGACAGAGTTATTAGGTGATTCTTGTGAGACTGACAACTTTATAGTGACGTATTCGCGCGCGTTATTATCATATTATAAAAGACTCAAATATGCAAAATACACTATGTGTATTTCTGCACGTCATAGAGATGACGAAATGTGTGCTCGTGTCTTTTAACGGAAGTGAGTTAATGATATACAATCGCAGATGTGTTAATGTGTTTACATATATATATATATATATATATATATATATATATATATATATAGATTTTCTCTCTGTGCGATGCGCTGGAGGAAGGTGTATAAATTCAACATAAATTATAATATTATTTTGATAATAGAGCATCGAATATGTGAAGTTAAAAGTACACGCAATCATACAGTTCAATGATTAATAATATTTTATACTTTAATTTGTGTTGAGACGATCTCATAACTAGTTCACTTCGACAAGGTCGATGACGAGGAGTTTTTGCTCTGATTTATATATTATTATTTAAATTTTCATTATTTTTTATTATATTTTCTTATATAAATCTAAAAAATTCTTATATAGATCTTATATAGAAATAATAGAGATTTAAGTCAAAGTACAAGAAAGTTACAATTTTTTCTTGTAAATTTAGTTATATTTATATTAAGAAATTTAATAAAGTAAAATTTAATATTTTATAAGATTAATGGCATTTTTTCAATTTTATTATTTGCAATCATGGACAAATTTTATTTATTATAAATACATTGGCTATGCTTTTTCATGTTGTAATATTTTTGAAGTATAAGTAATATTTTCAAAGTTACATTGCATTTAAAAACACTTAATATTTAAAATTACAAATTTATTTATAATTTTGCATTTGTTATTCGAAGATATTAATTGTTAATGTAACACTATAGATAAATTTAGTATGTTACCTCCCTCTCAGCGCATTGGCGGTGTTTAAGTTTGACATTGAGTGCGCATTGAAAAGACCGCGCCTAAATGTTCACGTCGATGCTCACTCGCAAATATCCGTTTTTTTAGAGCTTGGATGAGGGTGTGGAGGTGTCGATAGGTGTTGGCGAAAGAGGGTGCTGGTACACGAGAATTGGCCGACCTATTTTCGTCCTATACCGCAGTGCGCAGTTCACCCTTTGCGATGACGATAAGCAAGCTTCCTCGATTGGTCGGGAGAGGAAGAACGGGGATAGATAAGAGAAGGCTAGAAAGAGATTTGCGAATGCTCACTCGTGAAATTCTTTGCGGTATAACTATTGTATTAAGTAAAGTGGACCAGCCTAGTTTCTTGAAAGATAGGTTTGCATCATGAAGCCATCCTTTTACAGTGTATTCGGCCTTCGTAAAATAGGTTTTATAAAAGAGGTAGAATGAAGGATTATATACGCGTAAAAATGGGTGGCAAAGTCTGAAATATAAACCCCATCTCGAAAAATGTAATTAATTTTATTTTTCTTGTTTCTTTCGCGTGAAAAAAATTGTTTGAAAATCCTGTGAAAAAGTCTTTTGAATTTTTACATATAAAGCATATATTAATGAGGCTTGACGAGAATCCAAACAGGAATTTTTATTTAAAAAATCGATCACATCATAGAGAACTTCGTACTAAAAAAATACATAGATAGCATTTTTTTAAAAGATCAATCAATTTTAAAAAATTGGGAAATTTTTATTTTACCGTGAAAATAGAACTTTGCTAAGTTATTTTGTATGCATATCAGAAACGGGAATATGGTATTGCAATCTCATGATAATTTATCATAATTGGCATGAATGATATATACATACACAGACACTCACAACATGATGATCGTATGATTAATTATTAAATATTTCTCGTTTATTATTGATGCTGTTAATTTATTTTATGAACGAAAACGAATTGATAATGGAGCAAATTATAATTTCCTTAAAAAAACAAAAGGAAATTAATTGTTTTAAAAAACAAGAAAATTGACAAACAGTTTCGTAAAAAAAGGAAAGGGATCAATCAACATCTCATCTCGCCTTTCGTGATATGATATTAGGAATATGACCACGTACGTGTGTTACGCATCCTATCGCTCGCAATATTATGAAGGACAAAGAGATAGGGTACGTCGTATTGATCTCGAGGATTCAACAAACAGCACCTAGTACCTCCCGCTCGTTCCTCTCTAACTCTATCTTGCTTCTCCATCCAGTGCCAGTCTCGCTCCTCACCCTTCCATTTTCTCCTTTCTTCGTCGATATCTCTCCCTGTCTCTCATCGTGTTCCATACTATTCGATTCGCCCTCGCGTATATAGGGGTTTGATGAGGGCAAGCAACCCTGCTCGGACGATAATCGCAATTCCATTGTCGGACTTTCGATCGCCGTCGATCTCGTTTTGACGATACTTCAGGTAAAGATTCGTCTCCTTTCGTACTTTCGATACGACAGGAAATAAGGCCGACAAATCGTATTACGAAAGGATATTGAGAAAAATAAATTGCGGCCGCGAAATTTATTTTATTTTATTGCTATTTTGGATATTATGGGTCACTAGTACTAGAAAAAATATAAAAAGTGAATAATGAAATAGTGAAATAGTCAATTATGATACTAATAGCATCTTATAAATTTTCTAGAGATTTTGCTATCAAGAAATAAAATATCAATTTATATTTGATATGGCTGGAAAAGAAGAATAAGTTGTATTAAATTTTGACATATACATCAAAAAACAATATACAGAAAGATGATGTATTAACTTATTCTTTGTAAATTAATGCAAAACTTCAGTTTATCTCTATGAAATAGCATTCAATTCCAAATCAATTCACGCAATAGCTAAACGGCTTCTTAGAAGATACTAGCGATGTAAATCCACGCGGATTGTAATTTAGTCGTTCGTGAAAAATAAGGGATTTCGAAGGGAATATTAATTTAACTAGCAAAGCCATTTCAACCCATCGATCCAGCGGCGCTTGTTAACAGCGCGAGTGCCGGTCTCGGACTAGCAGATTGCCGATTTCCGCGCAGACGGGCGACCGAACGAGCGAGCGAGCTTGCGAGCAAGCAAGAGGAAGTTTGCCAAGACACGCGATGGTCGGGTCTATGACCATCGACCACGCGATGCCACAGTTGCGCTTACCCTCGTTGCGAACCCCTGACAAAACAAACCCTGTCTGCTTATCCAATTCCGCGACGTTTCCACGAATTTCTTCCATCTCGTGCCTCGTGCCAACCCCTGACACAACGCAACCCCCG